ATAAATATATCAATTGGTCAATGGGCAAGAAAGCCCTCTCATAACGCGCCATTAAGTGAGGCTTGAGGAGGTTAATCACATGGAAATGCTGAAGATTAGAAATTATGACATTAATTTCTCCACATTTCAGGGATGGAGGGTAGAGGTTCATTTCTCATTGGGCAAACAAAAGTCAGTTAAGCACAAAATATGGCCGGCATACAGCATTCAAACAGCTGATAAACTTGAAATCTACACACGAACGAGCAAAGCCAGATGAGGGTTCAAACCCGGAGGGGCACGGTTTTGGGGAATAAAAAGCCCAATGGACTTTTGCCTGGAAAAGCGGCAAATCATGCTTAATGTGGCATTTGTATGTTTATTTTTTTACTTTTATACTTTTTCCTTCTACGCTTTTCCTCAGCGAGAACAAGCCCGGGACTTAAAAGAAAACGCCAACGGACGCAGCAGCAACAATAATGCCATAAAAAGGCAGCAAATAAAATAAAATGAGACGAGATGAGATGAGATGCGAAAAAGGCCAAAATGAAGCGCAAGGCCAAGAGCAGGACGCAGGCAATAAGCAGTGGCGCTGGCGAGGAGCAAATAAAAGCCACAGAGGCGAGAAGGGACTTCACTAAGCAGCAGCCCAAAAAGAGAGCAAAGCCAAGATGATATAAATTTTATTGTCATGTCCAAGTAGATTAAACTAGCTGCATATCCGTCCGAGTCCAGAGTCCCGAATCCCGGCTCCTCCATCCCGTAAACGGGGCTCAAAAAGTAGACTACAAAAAAGGCACAAGAGATTTATGTCCTTATGTGTGTGCCAGTATGGGAATGAGCTTCTGAGCGGAGTAAGGATAACAAAGAATATTTTTCACTTTTTACGCAGCATATTCATACAGATTCGGACATTAAGTGGGGCCCATGTTTGCAACAAAAAAGAGCTTCAGAATCTCTTATATGTTTTTGACATTCAGCATTTAAAAAAGAACACTTTGATTCGTAGATATTCGCGGAAATAACACGAGCAGTGATTGACAAACATAAAGCAATATTCAATTGTTATCATCATTAAGTATCAAGATTTTTCTCAAAAACCAAACTATACTTATAATATTAACGTAGGCAATTAGAAGAAAACTGTTTCATTATTTTGTCAATTTTTGATGTGCAAAATAAATACGTAAATTTTTTTTGATATACTGCTGGAATAATTGAATCAAATTGGTATTTAGACTATTTATTTTGAACTTGCAATATTTTTCTTTTTCGAAGGCACCATTTATTATAAGAAATAAAACCAAACTATATAAATTATTGTGGTAGTTCGAAAATTATTTCAATACGAAGTCATTTCTGAGATATGCTCTTGGCCTTTCTTACCTTTTAATTTTTAAAAGCTGGGCAGCTTTTAATTAAGTTTTTTCTTGTGTATCCTTGCTTGGTTCTGAGATTGTGTTTTTTCGTGACCAGTTAAATTATCACGCACATCCATCCCTGATTGTAGGCGACTATCAACCCAGGTCAATCTTGGATCACTTTTCTTTGCCTATCTTGAAACATATTTCGCATAACCCAGCACAAATAAATAATGATTTATGCTTCAAGGTGCTCTTCTGACAGTTGGGAAACCCAGGGCAAAAAAGGGGCCTCAGCTCATTAAGTTAAACTGTCAAAAATTTACATATTCTTCCTCTCTTTTCTTTCTTCCTTTTGAACGATTTATTATGAAATGCTCAAGGACTCGGATTGGTTAAGGTTGTTATTCCCTTGTAAATGTATCCTTATCTCTCTTGCCTTTGCTGTGTGCAAAAAGTTTTTCTGTGTTTCAGGGTCTGCTTATCCAATTATCAAAACCAGACATTTAATTTTCCCTTTTACTTGCTTTGCCCTCGACAAATTGCTCGTTCAATTAGCTGCCCTTGAAGATGAACATTGCACTCGAAGAACGTATACAGTTTCCAATTCAATTTAGGACCGCGTCTCAAGTTTAGGGCCCAAACAATTTGTCATAATTTCCCAAAGAAAATAAATGCGAAAAAATGGAAACTCTTGCAACTCAGCAAAGTTGGCACGCCTTCATCGGCAGAGACCTTTCTGCCATCTGCTGTCGAAGACAAATTGCAGGTAAAATGTAAATTTTCCAGAGCGAATCTTTGTTTATTCTGTAGGTATTTATCTTTGTTCATTTTTCATGCTGAGACAAGGCGACATTTTTCTTATCAGCTAGTCAAAAAAATGCCGTTGTTATAACGACATAAATTCATCTAATTGGACACTCCTAATGGAAAAATCAGTCTGTGGAGGTTGAATGGTATTTCAATAGAGGGCACAACGAGTTTTGGAAGGACAGTGCGAGAATGAGTACAAGGGTAGAGCAGTAAGCTGGGTTGGAGTTTCTTTTAACTAAAAAATACCAATTCAAAATAACAAGTAAGTACTTACTGAAAAAATGAAAGCTTGGGTATACTGCGAAGAAAGTTGTAAGAAATCCATCAAGATCAACCAAAGCTCAACGCACTTACAGATATACGACGAATTTAATAAGACAAGCCAAGAAATATTGTTTTGTTAAATTACGCTGCATAAACAAGCTGTTATAATAACATAGCAGTTATAAATGTCAAAAAGCCATGAAAATGTATCTTAATTTCGTTTAGTTAAGGAAGCGAGCTGAGCAAATACACGAGGTACTCGCCCTGGCGAACCGAAAGTTAATTGAAAGCCAGCGGCGAAATCAAGGCAACTGTCTCCTCGAATGATGGACGACTGCCTTGCTGAGGAACTGGCTGACAGACTGAAGGGCAGTCACTCTGCGGCTGAAACTCCATTGCCGCCGAACAGTATATTAAATTTAGCTCTTTACGCGCTGATAGACAATCAAATTTACTTCGATTCGCAGTGCACTTCTTCGACTCCTCGGCTGACAGGTGCCGCGCTGTTTGAGTTCCCAGAGTTGGCTCAGTTGCCAGAGCTGGCCCAGTTGGCTGAGATAACTGACTGCCTCTGATGGCTCCCATTAAGCCCGAGTTACACGTCCCGATTCCCCACGGCCAACGCTCCTTTGGGTTTTAATTAAAATGTAATTTACAACCCTGACGTACGGCGGCGGCGTCTACGTTTGAGTTTGCTGCTGTTGCATTTCCTAGTGGCCAACTTTAATTGACTGCCAAACAGACGGGCGGACATCGGGATGGATCGATGAATAAGGTTGATTTGTATTGAATATTTAGATAGCAAAATTCCTTCTCCCGTTCAAAATTCAGCAAAAGGTAATCTTTTATTAGGGTTTTCAGGTCACTGTTTAGACCAAATTAATGTTATTTTTAATTGTTTAATTAATTGTCCTTTCACAATTTTTCAGTCAAATTTCGAACTTCTTTTACAAACTTGAATAATATGGTGTTTTTATACCCTTGCAGAGGGTATTATAATTTTGGTCAAAAGTGTGTAACGCAGTGAAGGAGACATCTCGGACCCTATAAAGTATATATATTATTGATCAGGATCACCTCCTGAGTTGATATAGCCATGTCCGTCTGTCCGTCTGTCCGTCTGTCTGTCCGTCTGTCTGTTTCTACGCGAACTAGTCTCTCAGTTTTAAAGATATCGAATTGAAACTTTGCACACACCTTTCTTTCCTGTGCACGCAGTATACTATATATGTCGGAACGGCTGGGACAGGCCGACTATATCCTATAGCTGCCATATAACTGATTGAACGGAAATGCCATAACTTTGGTGTTTGTAAAGTTAGAAAGCTGGAATTTTCTATGAGATTTATATTTGGCCAATCAATCCGACGTACCAAATTTCATTTGATCGGAAATCTCATAACTTTGGTGTTTGTAAAGTTAGGATGTTGGGATTTTCGATGGGTTTTATATTTGGCCAATCAATCCGACCTACCAAATGTCATAAGGATCGGCCGACTATATCCTATAGCCGCCATATTTGTTAAGTTAGGAAGTTGGGATTTTTATGAGTATTAAGAATGCATCATATGAATAATTTTGGAGAATATAATTTACAGAGTATTCTGCAAGGGTATATCAACTTCGGCTCCGCCCGAAGTTAGCTTTCCTTTCTTGTTTAATATGAAACTATATTATTAGCTTTTTTTGATTTTCGTCTAAAAATCAATAAGTGTCCAATTTTACTTAAATTAACACCAACATACTTAGTTCTATTTTTAAATTATATAATTTTAGCATTTGGTTCCTGTCCATGAGGTAATTTTAAAATATAGTAATTTTTAGTTAATATAAACCATATCAGATAATTCGTATTTCTTTTTTTGTGATCCTAATATGTTTTTTGTAAATTGTAGTATATACATATTACCTTCTTAACAGGCCAATTAAAAAAAAAAATTCTTCTTTCCCATAAGGAAATAAATAAATATTTAGGTCGTTTTGAATAGTAAATTTAGATATGGAATTGTTTGTTGCTCTTGTGCACATTTATAATCGCACTTAACATAATTAACAAGTTGTGTTTTACTGAATACCAAGGCACTCTCTCAGAGCTCAAAAACCAAATCAACGGCAGACAAATGGGGCAAATCGCTTTGGATTTTCTCCAGTCAGGACCAGACATACTTTTAGGCATAAATTTGGCCACTTTGCGTTCGGGACCTTGGACCATCCCAGCAGCTTAACTTATTTTTTTTGGGAATTTAAAAAATGCCAAAACATTTGTCCATTTACGTGCAGCACGGGGGAAGAACGCGTGCAAAAAAAGACCAAAAATATCGAGATTTTAAAACTTTACCATGGCTGACCCTTTTCCGGCGTTGGCCTTGGGGATTAACGGAGGGAAGAAAAATTGAAGCGAGTTACCCCAAGCCAGCCGTCTGCCAATTTATTCAAATGCCTTGCAAAGTGCTAAATAAACAAGACTCAGTCCCCCGGCATGGTCATGTCATTTTTCTTGGTTTTAGCTGGGTGCCAAAAAAAAACAAAAATTATAGCACACTTATTTGGTGTTAGGCGCAGCCCCTTTTACCCCGCACTCACCTTGTATGGGCACATAAATATTTAGATAGAGGCAGTCCTCTGATTGATTCTGCAGATAGGGCAGCAATCGCTTCAGATACTCCAGTCTGCCCTTGGGCATTCGCTCCAGGGCCGCCGTCTCGTTGTGGATGTCGGGCAATCTTTGCGGGCAAACCGGGCTGAATCTGTAAAATCAAAAAAGATTTCAGTGCCAGGCTAGTCAAAGGAGAAAGTTTCTCTCAAGGCATTTTGCTGGGCTTAAAAAGGTTTCCCCGACCTGATAAAAATAAACGAAAAAAGTTTTTCGGTAAATAGGCTTATTTTTATGCCCGGCCTCGAATGTCGTTATAAATAGATTAATTTGCCAGAATTGTGTAATCTTCGAGGGGTTTAATGATTTGAAGAGAGGCCAAGTCAACGTCAACTTTGTGATTGTCTTTTGGCCGTAACAACTTTTTGATTTCAAAGCCAAGTCTGCGTTTTAATTTCTTTTTTGGCTTTTTTTGTGTCCCCCGCTCACTTTTTTTGCATATTCCCCTTTTCGACCAAGGCTTATTTTCGATGCTGGAAAATTGGTTTTCGATTCGGCTCTTATCGTTCGATTTTCCCTCTTCGCATATCTCCCTCTGTGTGTGCACTTGTGCAATTTACTGATTTCTCCCTCTATTCCCACATACAGGCCATGCAAATGCCAGAAGCGTTCTCTTTTTGGCCTTGCGCTCATTTATGAATCTGATGGGGCTCGGTTTACACAAAAACCAACCGGGAGCCTATAAACTAAGAAAGTTTCATGAAGTTATATTTAAAAAATTAAATTATACTACATTTTATATAAATGCACTTGTTATCTATTTAAATTATTGATGTTTTTGTTAATAATAATAATTAATATAATAATTTTGGTCACATGTTTGTAGAAAAAGAGACAGTGTCGGCCCTATAAAATATATATACTCTTTTACATACCCAGGCGAGCTTATACAATTATGTCCGACTTTTTCAATACCGTTTGCTAGCTCACTTCAAGGACTTGAAATAGTATTCTATATGCGAACGCAGATTACGTTAGAACACGCTGCTGATCAGAGGTATTTATCCTAAAGCTGCCATACACTCAAATTTATTAAATTTAACTGTTTTTATGTAATTACCCACTGTCTAATTTCATACCAATTTCGAACCAATATCTTAAGTGGTAAATCAATTAGCCGTCATATATTAATATATTTGCGCAATCACGCTTAAAAATTGGCCGATCAGAAAGCTAGCCAAAGTTAGTTAATATCAAATGTAAAATAGTTTCGATAGGTTCCTTTTTTTTCTGTGTACAGTGGTTTTGATTCTGGCAGCTGCTTTGAGCTGGCATTGTTATTATTTGTTTTTAATCTGATCTATGTGTGGGCAGGTCACATATTCATTCAAGTTGGCTCCACCTGGTTTTAAAAATTTTCTGGGAGGTATACGCTTTCTAGGTAAATTTGTGTTCAAATTTCATGATGGAAATGGTTGATTTGTGGCATGGGCCTTTGAAAGGATTGACAAACGAAAGGGGATTTGTGACCACTAATGAATTAGGGCCAATGCAATTTGTCTGGGAAAAGGCCTTGATTCCATAAACCCAGCCCTTTCGGTCGTCAGAAATTTTCCTAATTTACTCTTGAGTGCTGGGATCCCTTAAAGTAGCCAGCTCAACTCATTAACAGCCACAACTCCTGTTGGCCATCAAATTGTCATAAAGCGAAAATCAATAGCAGCATTTAAGAGGGAAAACTCCTTCATTCCCCCATCGGCTACCCATTATGAGGCTTCCTCTTTCAGTCATCGCAAAATGCATTAACATTAATGACATTGCGAAACGAGAATTTATTTTATTTAATTTCCTTAACTTTATTTCGCTGTTGCCCTTTTATCTTTGTTATTACCGCCAACGCGGCCGCTGCTGCTTTTTGTTTACCATGGCGAGTGTATTTAATTTTTGGTTTTTATGGCATTCCAAACGCCTCGCAGAAAATTGGAATCTACTTGGAACTGACCCTCTGTGGGTCGCCAGTTTAATGGACGCTTGTGGTGGCCATGCGATTGCCATAATAATCATTAATTTTATGGCAAAACAATAAGGCAGGTAATAAAAGTTTCATTTTCGGGCTCCATTCTCCCTTCGCCTTTTTTTTAATGTAGCGGACATGGTGTCAACCTCGGAATCTCGGAACCCCGGAACCCTGCAGCCACAGGAGCTTGAGCAGCATGGATGAGCAGAAAATATTAAAAATAATGAAAGTGAAAAGTTTTTACGGCAACTTCTGTAGTTGTTGTAGTGGCTGCCACTGCCGTTGCCAGTGGTCCGGTCAGGTAACGAATCCCCCCAGTTCGAGGTCATAAAAGCCACATTTTGCCTTTTTAATGTTGCCCCCATGGCAAACGAATGGCGCACACTTCTCAAGTGGCAAGCGATCTTGTTTATGCCACTTTGCAACCACTGAACTTTCGCAGATAAGAACGGGTGGCACGCAATACAGGTGGCAGCTACAGCAGTAGCTGGAGGTTGAGCTAATAAAGCGGGTGCCGCAATTAGGGTCAGGGTGAGTTCCTCTCGCCATCGATGCAGCATTTGCAAATGGCCAGGCATTAAAACTTGATAATTACTTGTAGATTTTACAGACAGCTGGGGGAGGCAATAATCTTGTTTTCCGGGTAGCCAATTTACGTTAGAGCTTTACTATTCCATTTTTACTGAATTCGTACGTGATAAAAGTAGGAGAATTACTTTCAGATTGTTTTTCATCATGAACAAAAATATAAAAATAGAGTCTTTGGAAATAAAGCGTACATGCCAGTTGGCAAGTATTCTGAAACTTTAGAGCTAAGTAATTACACCCTTCATTATATAACTATAGGTCCTTTCCTAAATTTTTAAACATCCAAAAACTGTTTTAATTTTAATTGTCATCTGCGAGCACATTCAGTATTGCATAATTTAAATGTTTAATTTTTACTGTTTTGTAAGGGGCCTTGAGTTTAAGAGGCCTGTGATTTCCTGCCTGAACATTCAGCATAACAAATTTCTGGCTAATAACTTACAGGTATCGTATTGCATCTCCCATCGCAGATTATTTGCCACAAACAGATATCTGCGAGATTCGTGCAAACAATATGAAGATGGTGACCCTGACCAGCGAGGAACTGCTCTGCCGAGCAACCAGAGCACGCGGTCAAAAGTAAACAAGGTTATAGCTGTAGCTCCATCTCCCCATATTCCTCTCATATTCCGGAGCACATGCAATTTGAAATTCACAAACAAAACATAAAGCAAAGCTGGCCCAAAATGCTCGAGTTTTGTGTTTACATTTGAATGGAAGGCCAGGCTAATCTGCATGCAGGGGAAAGATGCTCAAGAGCAGACAAAGCTTAAGGGTCAGGGTTTTGGGATTTCATGGGCGCTTTTGCGAAGGAGGAGTACCCAGCGCTTTGTGGTAAACAAATGGTAGCCAGGACAGCAGCCCGTCCAGAGATCCGCTGGCGTTTTCGGCTTAAATACATCAAACAAAAGTTTAATCTTAGCCAAGCAGAAAAATACACGCATATACACTAAGAAACATAAAGACAACCTTTACCATTCGGAAATCAATATCATGATATGTTATTTTATTTCAAAAGTAGTGGAAGTATTTTAAATATACAAGAATAAAAAAAAAAGTTTTGTTTAATATCCATCCAAAAATACTAAATTTTAAAAAATTCATTTTTTAAACACGTTTTTTGATATAAAGTGTATCATTCAAATCTGTTTCCATCTTTAAAACTGGTGTGAAAATTAATAATTAGAAAGTATTGTGCATTTTTACGCTATTTAAAAAAAATTGTTAACATTAATAAAAAACAATTAAATTTATTCTAAAATTTGGCCTTACCGCTTAAGTATTTATTTGTCAACTGATAAAAAATGGGAGTCTTTATAAACAGTTTTTTTATTTATTTTGTTGTATTTTCATAGTTGATCTTTAATATTATCCTTAATTTTTTTCTGTGTATTCTTCAATGGGGGAAGTGAGGTAGTGGAACGGAGGGCACCGTATCGCATAAAATTTTACGCGACATTGCGGCCACGTCAAGTAAAATAGATTAATTTTACCTGTGGCCAACGGGCCAGAAGGTTGTCGTCCTCATCCTGATTTTCCATTCCTCCAACCGTTCACACAAATTAGATTGGGGCGACACAGACACACACCCCTCGCAGCCCACACCTCACACCTTCGTCGGAAAATCTCCTTGGGGCGTAAAGCTTTCTTGCCGCAGTCAAATTAAATAAAATCCAATTTAAAATGAATTTTCGCAATTTCATTTAAAACGGGCAACAGTTTGTAGCGCCGTCGCCGAGTCAGTCGGCAATTTATGCGGCTGATGTCCTCGAGCTCCCGGTCCCTTAACCCTCCGCCGCCTTGCGGTTACCACTTGCTCTTGAGCCTCAAATTGGAATTAACGTTTTTAATGACGAGCCAGCTTCTGTTTGCCGGAGCGAAAGAGATGCCCCTCAAGCCGCTGCACGCACATTCTGAAGGTCCTGCCTCCTGCCTTCAGACTCCTACCCCCGCCTGTTTGCCTGCCCACCATTCATTAATGCGCTTTTTATTAGGAAAATCGTTAACTTGAGTTCCCCCACTTAGCGTTTTTGCGTCGGGCTTTTACTTTCGTCTTTATTAAAAACTTTGGCGTCATGCATAAAACTCGTCAGTTTATTGCGATTTTTACACTTCGTTTATGGGCCAGAACCGGGGCCCGGGCAAAACCTGGTCAGGAGAGGTTGGCCACTAATCCGCTTGTTTTTCATAATCCTTGCGCCACAGGCAACGGCCAGGACCAATGTGCAGCCGTTGGAACAACAGCACCGAAGTGCAAAGTGGCCGGCAGAATTTATTTCATTTTTATTAAAGACGTTGGAGGAAAGTGCGTGGACGAGGTTGGACCACTGTGTGGAGGGGGTAGTGGGTGGTGGGTGGTGGGAGGTGGTAGGTGGGAGGTGGGTGTTTTGGTGGTGACACGCGTGGCTTGTCAAAGCCATGAACAGCTGCTGCCTTTGGCGCGCTAGGAATATGTGTGGACATAATTTCCTCTTTTTTCCTGCGTTGCCTCCATTTTTTGTGGCTGTGAGAAATTATTTTTGCAATGGGGTCGATGTGAGTTGAGGGTTAACTTGCGAGGGAAAAGTATGCGGCTCGCAAAGTTCGTTTTTTGTTGTAGCGGAAATTTAGGGAAAACTTTAGTTCAAAGGACGAAATATGACAGGTGAACAGCGGTGAGCTCAGGTAAACTATACATGTGCCTCTCTTTTAATGCTTATACCACTGGGAAATAACAACTGAAGTTATTATTAAACTCTTAATAGTCGCTTTTTAACCAACTCGTTCGTTTTCAATCAGAGTTCTGTTCAAAAATATGCATTACAGAATATCAATATATATGTCTTTAACCTCTGTTGGCTAAAAACAGTATATAAATTATTTAAATAAATGTATTTTATTTTTTACAAGCGCTCTGAATTCATACTATTGGGTACTGTATAAATTTAATTAGCTTCCCTGAAGTTTGTCAATTGAAACGTCATTAGTAGTCATTTTCCTTCCTTCATAAACATATGTTTTATTTTATTCAACAAAACTTTACCTGGAGTTGAGTGCAGAGAAAAAACAAACTAACAATAACTTATTCCACTGTGTAGCCTCACCATAAATATGATGCCAAAACTTTGGCTTTGCTTACCAAGTCCCAAACGGACTTAAGCCAACGAAACCAAACCTAAACTTAAAGCCAAACCACGAAACAATCTAAGCGTTTTACCATCCAAAACCTGAGATGTATCCATTTCCCGTGCAAAATCAGGCTAATGACCTATTGTGCCAACTGCCCATGGACAACTTTATTACGCTGACGTGCTGAAAAATCTCCGGGGCATTACTCAAGCCGTTTTATTGGCTCCTTTTCGACTGACCCCCGCTGTCAACAAGACGGCCCGACAAATAAAGCCGCTCACCTCTCCGGAAGACGAAAGATGATGCGGCAGAGACGGGGCCGTCCGTCCGGGGCTTGAATTACCCAAAAATTGGCGGGGCAATGCGAGAATGCGAGAATCATCAGTCTGCCGCCAGGCCGCAGGTGGTGTTCTTTGTTAAACTTGAAAAATTATACTTTATTTGCCGGGCTCCGCTGTGCGCTGTACTGATTTCGCGGCCCTTTTCCATCGGCATTGGGGCTCCGGGCTCTGGAAAAGGGGAAAAACTTTTGCTGCGTCGCGGCCTTATTCCGCTTCCCTTTTTTATAACAATGGTAAGTAAGGGAACCAGGAATATCTCTGGGCATCTTTGTGAATAATGATTTGCCACTTGGGAGCATTTGTAAATTAGATGCCGCTGTGTAGCTGCGATGTCCCGACGCGCAGTTTGCTGCCGGGGACAGCGTAAATATTTAATTTGCGAGATATTCCGAGCGGAAGCCGGCCGACTAAGTTGACCTTTGACTTGTATTTTCCCATTTTTTCATTCGCTACTTTCAGAAGCCATTATCATTACACCCATTGTTGTCGGCGGCCAGGCAAGGGTTTTAGCATTTTCCATTATTTTCATTACTTTCAGTCACACTCAGCTCTCAACATTTTCGGACCGCCGCCTGCGCACTTGACTCAATAATGAGTCAGTTAATTGAGGTGACAATTGTTGGGCCCTCTCGAGAGACTCGGCTCTTGACTTATGGCATTTTGATCATTTTATGCACTCGGAAGGCGAATCAAATTCAACCCTTTTGCGAAATGATTTAATGCTTTTAGATGGACAAAGCATTCTGTCAGAAGGTGGAAGTCTCCCTGGCATCTTAGGAATATTTATTAAATTACTTGGACGAGGGTTCGTGTTACTCCTGATGGGATTGGATAGGGAAAAATGTTGGGTTGCGTGATTTCTGTTCGCTTAAAGTTTGTAGTTCTGCTTTAGTATCGTGTTTACTTGGCGACCGTTTTTATAAAACTAGCTTTTATGAAAACATAACATGTTTTTAATTTATATGTAATTTTGAATTAAATTAGGGTGCTAATTTGGCTTGCTAAAGTTTTATTCCATTCATGCTATAAACAAAAAATAAATTAGCAAACAATTTTTATACCCTTGCAGAGGGTATTATAATTTTGGTCAAAAGTGTGCAACGCAGTGAAGGAGACATCTCCGACCCTATAAAGTATATATATTCTTGATCAGGATCACCTCCTGAGTTGATACAGCCATGTCCGTCTGTCCGTCTGTCCGTCTGTCCGTCTGTCCGTCTGTCCGTCTGTCCGTCTGTCTGTCCGTCTGTCTGTTTCTACGCGAACTAGTCTCTCAGTTTTAAAGATATCGAATTGAAACTTTGCACACACCCTTCTTTCCTTTGCACGCAGTATATAAGTCGGAACGGCCGGGATCGGCCGACTATATCCTATAGCTGCCATATAACTGATTGATCGGAAATGCCATAACTCTGCTGTTTGTTAAGTTAGGAAGTTGGGACTCTCTATGGGTATTATATTTGGCCAATCAATCCGACATACCAAATTTCATAAGGATCGGCCGACTATATCCTATAGCTGCTATATAACTGATTGATCGGAAATGCCATAACTTTGGTGTTTGTAAAGTTGGGAAGTTGGGATTTTCTATGGGTTTTATATTTGGCCAATTAAACCGACCTACCGAATTTCATAAGGATCGGCCGACTATATCCTATAGCTGCTATATAACTGATTGATCGGAAATGCCATAACTTTGGTGTTTGTAAAGTTGGGAAGTTGGGATTTTCTATGGGTTTTATATTTGGCCAATTAATCCGACCTACCAAATTTCATAAGGATCGGCCGACTATATTCTATAGCTGCCATATACATAACTGAACGATTGGAAATGCCATAACTTTGGTGTTTTTAAAGTTAGGAAGTTGGTATTTTTTATGAGTATTAAGAATGCATCATATGAATAATTTTGGAGAATATAATTTGCAGAATATTCTGCAAGGGTATTTCAACTTTGGCTCCGCCCGAAGTTAGCTTTCCTTTCTTGTTTAAAAGTATTATAAAGCAAAATTTAAGAATCCGAATTCGATGTTCCCTTGAAGCTTTACCAAGAAGGATCATTGCTATGGCAGATATTTAAGTTTAAATCGGATACGTACGTAGAAACTGACGGTCATTATACCCTTGCAGAGGGTATTATAATTTTGGTCAAAAGTGTGCAACGCAGTGAAGGAGACATCTCCGACCCTATAAAGTATATATATTCTTGATCAGGATCACCTCCTGAGTTGATATAGCCATGTCCGTCTGTCCGTCTGTCCGTCTGTCCGTCTGTCCGTCTGTCCGTCTGTCTGTTTCTACGCAAACTAGTCTCTCAGTTTTAAAGCTATCGAGTTGAAACTTTGCACACACCCTTCTTTCCTTTGCACGCAGTATATAAGTCGGAACGGCCGGGATCGGCCGACTATATCCTATAGCTGCCATATAACTGATTGATCGGAAATGCCATAACTCTGCTGTTTGTTAAGTTAGGAAGTTGGGACTTTCTGTGGGTTCTATATTTGGCCAATCAATCCGACGTACCAAATTTCATAAGGATCGGCCGACTATATCCTATAGCTGCTATATAACTGATTGATCGGAAATGCCATAACTTTGGTGTTTGTAAAGTTAGGAAGTTGGAATTTTCTATGGGTTTTATATTTGGCCAATCAATCCGACCTACCAAATTTCATAAGGATCGGCCGACTATATCTTATAGCTGCCATATAACTGATTGATCGGAAATGCCATAACTTTGGTGTTTGTAAAGTTAGGAAGTTGGGATTTTCTATGGGTTTTATTTTTGGCCAATCAATCCGACCTACCAAATTTCATAAGGATCGGCCGACTATATCCTATAGCTGCCATATAACTGAACGATTGGAAATGCCATAACTTTGGTGTTTTTAAAGTTAGGAAGTTGGGATTTTTTATGAGTATTGAGAATGCATCATATGAATAATTTTGGAGAATATAATTAACAGAGTATTCTGCAAGGGTATATCAACTTCGGCTCCGCCCGAAGTTAGCTTTCCTTTCTTGTTTTTGGATTAACTTTATAGGGGCGGAAATGTCTCTATAACTGCTTTGCAAGCGTTTCGCTGAAATTATAATATCTTCGCAAGGGTAAAAAACCATAAAACCTGCCTGATAATTGCCAAGATAGTTAAGTTTTTTAATAAAGCAAAACAGAAAACTCAAATTTGAGGGGTCATTTTGTAGTAATATTTGGACATTAGTCTCTGAAGCGAGAGCTCACTTTAATGGCGTCTAATACCCCTTGCATTATAGCGAGCCAACTCACCTGTCCGCCTTTTTGACACCTGACCACATGGCCGCCGAGACAGGTGGCATGAACCGCAAATTGCCGACCGGCGGCGAGGCGTAGGGGATTCCCCGGTACGCCTCCACCGGGTCCAAGTGCCGGCCGTCCAGTTGGACAATTACGCCCGAAATGGCGCCGTTGCGTGTGTGGATAATGCGCGACGAAAGCTGGGCGGGCAATTGATCGTGGTTCGGGTTGGAGTTCGGGTTGCCGTTGTTGCTGGTGGGTCGGCCACTGCGGCTGCCACCGGATCCGCTGTTGTTGGCGGCGGATGAGGAGGACGAGCTGCTGGCGGAGGACGAGGAGCCCGCCGACGCGGACGAAGTGAGGGATAACGAGGGCACGGAACTGGAAGTGGCGCTGCTGGAACCGATCAGCACGAGTCCGCCATTATTGGTCGCCGAGGGTCCCGCACCCGGGCTCCTCTGGGAAGTGCTCAGGTTTCCGCTGTTGCTGCTGTAACTAACGCCAGCCGCCGTGCATCGGGATACGTCCAGGAGCACCAGGAGCAGCAGGACCAGCAGGGAGGACCACGCCCACGCCCACTTGGGGGGCGGCACTTTCCGCCGCGTTCTCGTTGCTGCTGATGGCGGGAGTTGTCGCTTCGAGTGCAGCAACATAACCATTATTGTTATTGGTCAAAATGGCCAGGTCGCAATGTTGCCGTTGTTTTTCCGATAGCTTGATGTCCGACTGGTGCTTTGTGTGCTTCCTCTCTGCTCTTGTATAATTGACCACAAGATAGCCGTTCGTGGCGTGGCCTGCTTTTCGCTTTGCTTGTTCCGGCAAGGAATTTCACCTTTTATGTCCTTTTTAATTTTACTTTACAACAGCAATCCGTCTTTTGGTCAGTGTTTTTTGCAAAAAATGGCAGTTTAAGTAAACTGAAAAGAGAATCAATAAATTTAATAAATAAAATGTTTTTGGAGGGCAATTAATAGGATTGTATTTGGTATATTTTAAGTGGTGTATTCTGGCTAAAAACCTTCGACCAACAAAATCAGATATGATTTCAACATTTAACATCAATATTTAGAATAACCTTATTTGTAGCTATCATACAACTTTATTTGATTTTTTTATAAAATCATCTTCCACATTCTTCATTTGGGCTCTTCTGCTTTCATCAAGGCAATTCCGCCGAGTGTGTGTCTTGAAGCCTTTCACTCGGTCCTTACTGCCGTTTTTGTAGTCTGACTAGAGGCATCCCCCCAAAAAACAAGGTGAATAAAACGGGTAGGATGTGGATAAAAAGTCCTCCGTCCACTCGTTGCCTTTTCTTTTTTCCCTTGTTTTTTGGTATGTTTGCCAGCTGAAGCATCACCTTGTTTGCACTTGGTGTAGTGTCCTTGCCCTTGTTGTAGTCAACAACAACAAAGGATGGAGGGGCTTTTATGGGCCTGGTTGGGTGGCCAGGACAGTTGGCATTTTGCATATGCCAGACATGTCAGTCTACCAGGCAAGCAGGGTTGAGACTCCTGACAGCACGGAGAGAATGCCTACGTGAAACGACTAAGAAGTGGGCCATGGAGGTAAGGTGCAGGGACCAACGCTGGAGCCTTTGCAGTGCCTAACTGGTGACATTGGGTCATTGGATCAACAATTCGAAAGAGTCAAACGAAGGATATGGGCGGCCCAATGAGCGGGATTGGATGTAAGGGTCATTAACGGATTTGTTTTGTGGTACCTTAAATTGAATACGAGAATAGGGTAGGGACCATAAATGTCCCGATGTTCTTTAATCATTTAAGGATTTACAATTGCATTTATAAATGCCTTTTTATCTCACCTCGATTGTAAATGAATGAATTATTATCCCTGACACCAAGACAATTATCTGTGTTTAATGTGTTTTTTAATTTCACAAAACGGAATTAAGCCGAGCTTCAGTAACGCACCGAATAGACTCTAAGGGCAACCGGTTCATTCTGGTATTTTATCGCTTTTTTAGCTCTAATGGCCAAAAAAAAATATAACAACAAAACAAGTTCATTTTTTGCGGAGAACGAAAATCGATCACAACGAGGAGAAATGCTATAGTCGAGTGCCACGACTAGAAGATACCCCTTACTCAGCTAAACAATTTCAAAATAAATAAATTTTAGGCAGTGCCATCTGCTTCCTCCGCTCTCTGAAATAAATGAACTCCGTTTTCAAAAATGAAATTATGTCATAATAAACGCTTCAAATGTTATATAATTTGTTAAGGAATGGTGCGATCCGTTAATTATTTGGAGTGTTGATAGATATAGATTCCGCCCAATAACTTTCTAAAAATTGTTGGTGATTTGTGGGTGTTAGAGTGGGATTAGCAACATTTTGAAATAAACTTGCACTGCGTAAGAAAATCTAGAATCTTCGTGCTAAATCCCAAATATATCGAACTTATGGTTTAAGAGGTCTCGACGATTCGGCAATCGATCCTGATCAAGAATATATGTACTTTACAGGGTCGAAAACGCGTCCTTCTACATGTTACACACTTTTTAACGAATACAATTTACCCTTTTACTCTACGAGAATCGGATTTTGTTTCCGGTACCGAAACCGGATTTAAAAACTGCTGATGGGATGGACGCTGTGCACAGGTTTCAAAACATATTGCAATGAAAAATCGTTGCTCTGTATCGATAAATTTGAAGAAAGGCACATCAAACAATCATTAAAACATGAACCGGCTAAATACACCACAAAACTGAATATATTTTCCTCTGACCATATATTTTAAATGTTTAAGGAAGAAAGGAAATTAAAAATGATTTATGAAAAATTATTTAATTCTACTAACGAATTTCATTTTTTTACTTTTTAAAAATCATTTTCAAATTTAAAGGATTTTCTTCGGAAGAGCTCGAATTGAACTTGCCTCCGATATTGGCTGTTGTACGAGGATTAGCCGTGCCACTATTCTTTTTCCCTGTGTCTTGAATAAGGCACTCCACAGAACCATAAGCCCAAAACAGCCATCCTGGTGATCCCTTCGGCCCCACCCCTCCGCAACATTCCTTCTCTTCGGTGGAAGGAAGGCGTTTTTATTCAGCTCGCACTTACTTATTCCGTGCGGTGGCTCTGCTGCTGTCTGCGGCTCGAGTGCAGGTGCTAAGCCCTTCTGTCGTGCATGTGCGTTGGGTGTCCTTGCTCCTGCGGCCTAGTCCTGCTCCTTGTTTAGAATCACTTCACGTACTGCTCGCTCAGCCGCGTCGTCTGCTGCTGCTGCGTTTTTTGAATGCCGGCACGCTACAATTGTCATGCAAGCGGACATTCTCGACTGAGACGTTCACGTACTCAGCGATGAGCCGGATTCCGAGGAGGAGAAGGCGCTGGCATACTTCTGGGGCTCTAGGGGAAGTTCTTCCATGGCGGACGACGCTGCAATCGGATCAGAGAGGTGGCACACTTTTATTAGACCGTCCAATCGACTTTGTGGCACTTAAACTATGCTTAATAATTAACCCGACACGCGCCATTTTGCGTTTTTAGAGGGGCAAACAGTTTATCTAAGGACGAGTATCGGTGCAGGTTAATAGACATCCATGCTCTTTGCTTGTTTCTGGGTGTACATAAATTCTCGCTCACCTCAATAATAAAGAGGGACCAAAAACAAATTGTCAAATAGTATGTGATCAAATTAATACGAAGTTTTAGTAATTTTTGTACTAGTATCCAGTAACATAAAATCATGGCTATAAAATCTTTATATCTTGAGACCAAAAAAAAACCCTATTAAATTCTTAAACATCAGAACAGAATTTATGAATATTGAGAATCAAATAATATTACTCTTATAGTCAGAGAAATTTGATTTAAATTCGACGGAAAACAAAAAAGTTAAGCATAATTTTCGTTTCAAAAGAACGTATTTCTATTTTTAGTTTCAAGCCAACAACTAAGTGAATTTAAAAGTGTAATTCGAATAAACAGACATCCAAAGCTGCCGTTCCGCTCTTTCCTTCTAAAACATCCAATTTGTTTCATGTTGATATATTCTTTGATTATAAATTAACGGTATCACCAAACCAAATATAAACTTATATTATCCCCCCGCAGCCTCTTTCTGCAGGGTATTAATTGAATCAGTGACTCGAAGCTGGTGGAAAATTTCAATTATATGATGCCCTCAAGTGTAAGTAAATTATTATGCAGATCATTAGCAAAGTAATTAGACTCAGCTGCCTTGCCGCCCATAATCCTCGGCTCACTAGTTGAATTAATTGTATTCCTGGAAATTGAGTTATTCGCACATTCCATCAAGGCGCCCACGAATGCCTTGTTGGTGCTTTTCATTTATTATGCGAATTTCGACTACATTTCCCGCTTACAATTTCCCCCAAGGAAAGACCGGGATGTTGAGACCCATAAGTAAACAGTGGACAGATGCGAAGGGATTTTAGAGTGCCAGTTCCTTAGTTTGTTCAACAAATACCATCACCCCAGTGTCAGCAAAAGTAGTAACTTAACTTTACTTCACGTCGGCCCTCTCCCTGGTAAACATTGTGAATCATACGCACTGTGGCGCAGACATTTTGTTTTATTTTGCTGTTGAGAATGAGTTAAGAGCACGTCACGCTGCGTAAAACCCTGAACTTAAGCAGTGAAACAAACGGACAAATATCCACTTATTCGTAGACCAACAGTTGGTGGCCAGCCTGAACTTTTCTGCCCCTTATTAATGTCCGATTGGTACTTCCTGGCCTTCTTTTTGCAGGACTGAAAGAAGCCAGCTTAAGATTCTCCTTAAACGCACTCAAAGATGCCGTCTACATAATAATGCCGCCTTATTACATGAAAGGAAAAACATCTCCAACTTTGCTCTTGCTTCGACCAAAATTCTTCCCGAACTTTTGGACTCAAAACAAAAAGTTGTCAAAAGTTCAAATTTGTATACAACTTGTATATATATGCGCAAGTATTTGAAATGACTTTATTCACATTCGTAATTTGTATCTCGACTCTCGAAGCTATAATTGGATTCGAGGGTGTTTTCATGTTGTTTGCCTAATTTAATTGCAAATAAACGAAACGAAATTCCAGTTTGTGAAATACTTTTCCTTTAATTAAAAATCAAAACGCGATAAGCGGCCCAGGGAATTGCTATGGAAAACGTTTTATCACGGTCGCCGAGGGGGGGTGGAGGAACTACATCTTCAGCAAAAGCAAGAAGTAGTCTCTTGACTTTGCAACTGGCCGCAATTTCCGTCTTGCCGCAACTTTTTCTGTTCTCTTTGTGCCATAAATTCAGCGCCAGCTAGCCGGAGCATTCGCATCCGCATCCGCATCCGCAGCCTCAGTTATTTTACCCGGTCCGAGGGTCATTAATTTGTCTTTCGAGGCGGGTGCGAGGAAGGTTAAAAGGCATTTTGGACGAGGAGCAGTCGTTGCCGCCGCGGCATTAAACTGCTTAAGTAGCACAACTAAATTAAGAATTGTGGGCCAAGCAATTAGAAAAGGGGCAGCAGGAGGCAGGTCAGACAAGGAGCAATAAAGTTCGAAGTTAGGTCAATCCTTAGGTGTAATGGATATTTGTTTGCTCCGATTTTTCCTGCCATAATCTTCTTTTCCAAGAGGTTTCAGAGCTCACACGCAAACCAAATAAAAACCAAAGGATATACGAAGAAAAAGTACCACTGCCTCGGAGGCTAGTATTCGGCTAGTATTGTACTTTTACAAGGAAAGCAAGATTTTAAGTTTTAGTGATACCCAATTTACAAGTTAATTTAAAGGTTTTAAAGGTTATCTTTCAATACAATTTTTATAAAACATATGTATATATATATATTTACGAATTCGACTAAAATATCATACAAGATTACAATTATTTTAATACAAATTACACTAATAGATGCTGTTAATAGAAATTGAAAGATGCTTGCGATGCTTTTGCTTTGTATTCATTACTACCATTTCTATGCCCGTGTCTGGAAAAATTCCTGCTCTATAGTAAGTATATTGATTCGTATGCTCGCAGACATGTATTTCCGGAAATTTAATCAGTTTTGGTGCTTAACCGAGTTGTGGAAGGCAAACGAAACGAAAGAATCTTCACAAATATAAAAAGAAATCCAAATCCTAAGGCGAAGCAAAGGCAAAAGAATGCAGAGCAGCGGAGAAAACGGCAGAAGATGGGGAGGAAAATTGTTTAGCAGTTGTCTGACTGGAAATGGAAATGAAAATGTTTCTGACTTACTTGCCTTGGCATTGTTATTTGAGTTTATTGAAATGACTGTCTTGCCTTGCTTAAGTGGGTATGAAAATACCCATGTAGAGGAAAGGAAAACGAAGAAAAAGCCGAAACTGATTTTGTTTTGCCATTGAAATAATAAGGCCAAGATATTTTCGGATAAGTATTTTATAATAATTTTAGTAAAAACCTCGAACCACATTCACAGAGAACAGTTTTCAACATATGACTCCAGAAAAGTCTATTGTTTTGGCCTAATGCCTTGTCTGATGAAAAAAGCTGACCAAAAGGGAGGCAGATACTCGGACCAACTCAAACTGTAATATTTCATGCAAATTTATGCAAAAATGTGAGAAATTCGCTTCAAGAAAATATGAGCGAAAAATGCAATCTGCAAAAGAGTTAAAACCAAAGAGGAACAAAAAAAGCAAAGAATGAAGTGGGATGGAGAACTTCGCAAGTGATGGGAAATAATGCGACTTTTTAACTACGTTTTAGTTTAGCCAAATGCATTTTGCATGTCAGAGTTCGTCTCTTGATAATAATATTCGAAAAGAACTCTCCGACTTTTTATCTCCGTCTCTTCATTGCCTTAATGGGCCACCTCCTTTTTGCTGCGTTTTAGGGTTTCATTATGTTGACTATCCAACAGACAAAGGCTTATAATTTTTTACTCGCCCACGTACTTTATTTATGTATACGAGTACACAACTTCTCGCCTCTTGGACTGGGCTCCGCCTTCTGCCAGCAAAAATGGCTAAAACAATGGCTTTTCCCAACAACGAAGGCAGAAATTAAACTGACTTTCATCAGGAAGAGCGCAACTGACAAGTCAACGAGAAGAAAATAAAGAAGCGGTCTCTGGAAAGTAGTGGGGATAAAAAATACTTGGCGGAAATTATAATCCATCTGCATCAAAAAAAAAAAATACAATGGGGGAAATAGTTTCTGGCCTGAGCCTTAAAGCAGCTCAGAAGGGTATTTAATATTAGCATAAATGCCAACATAAAATTAAATATGCAAAATGAGAGATTGCTTTAACTGCAAGTGGAAAATTGTAGTTATCTTTATAGGGATTTCCATATATGCAAATGGTGAGCTCGTTAATTTTTCATAACCAATTTTACCTTGAATTCTATGAACTCACATTTATAAAGGTTCTTGGATTGAAATTAATTATTCAAGCATTTATCTGGAGTAAGGAAAAAGCTTTGAAAAATTCGAGCTTACACGTTAAATTTAATTTTAATTGTGAGTCCAATCAGAGTGAAAAACTGAAACAAAGTTTGGGATCCTTTGAAAGAGATACACATGTATTTATCCTTGGGCCAAACATTAGCTATGGCAATAAATTTTTCGCACAATCGAGCCCGGCAATGCATGGAAAATTAATTTCCCTCGGATTTTACAATTCCCTTACCATTCATGGAATAAATTTAGCGCTCGAGGCTTACAAATTTCAAAAGCAAATTTTCGACGCTGTTAGAAATAAATTATCGTTTAATATTGGCAAATAATACGATACCCTTCCCCTTCTCTCATTCATTCCTGTGTTTTTTCTCCGTCTGGCCTTACCAGAAATTCCCAAATTGAATTCGTTATTCGGCGTCGCATGAAATAATTTTGCCCTGGGAGGTCACCCACAGCAAATGACGAAATAATGATATTAGAGCAACATTACGCCATTACGTAGCAACACACATGCAAAAATAATTGACGACAATGACGTAGGCGACATACATTGGCAACCGAAGAAATTGTGCATACGCCCCGTAAGCCAAGCCAGTCTAAATAATGAGGCTAGAGGGCACCGGCGGAGTTGGCAAAGTCAAGGGGTGGAGAAAAGAGGAAGATGGAACCCGAAGTAATGGCATCGAAGGGTAGACATTGAGGTAACCTGTATATAGTTCCATTTACCATGTGTCTATTTAATAATCTAAATTATCTAAGAATGGTTTAGAAGGAATCGTTTCTAAAATAGTCTAGCAGGGCATTTAAAATTATATATGATCTTGAAAACCTTACTTGCTATTTTTCAAAAGTTTAAGAAGCTCTTGTTCTTTGAAACTTTATATGCGTGAAAATCATTAAAATGTGAAAAATATTCCTCTACTTTTATTGTTTCAAACAGGTCTTGAAATAGTGGTATTTCAAGACCAATAAGGCGAACATTTCGTTGCATTCACAACCA